CACAATATCTTAACCACTCTTACCCTAATGCAAAGAATAGTCCCTAAGGTTCATGCGAACATGCAAGATTCTAATATCTAAGAATGTTGAAGTTAGAAACTAGATTTTTTGAACATTCAGTGGCAACATCTTCCTAATTTTCACTTTAGTAACTTTTTTTAATTCATGAATCATATTTTTAAAATCCTAGGAATCAAGGAAATTAGGGAAAATCATGTGTTTATAACTGTTACACTTGTCCCTCATCAAAACACCAAAAATATTCCTCTAAGTACCCTAGCTCTGTATTTCAAAATTCAAATTTTCAAATTAACCTAATTAGAAACTTAGGGTTCATGAAAAATCGATGCCTTTATACCCTAAGACACCACCACAATCAATTTCCTTTCAATTTCCAACTAACATTATAACCCTAACTATCAATGTTCCACATTTCAGGATCCTAGGGTTTGAGAAACACAAATCACAACAACAAAGCACACTAAATCGTCACTTTTACAATCCTATTTTTGCCTTTCAACATTAATTTCTGACAATTTTACACATAAAAACCAATGGACCAACATTAAATGAGATAAGAAGAGAAACTACTTACCCTTGACTCATTGTGCAGATTGTGCAATGGAAGAGAGTAAGGATTGAGTGATCTGTGATGGGAAAAAGACTTGAGAGGATTAGAGGGAAGAGTGCATGTTTAAAAATGTAAAAATAACCCTCTTCTCTTCAATTTGAAAACTAGGCCGCACAACTCTCACTATAGCGATGTCTTTTCACTGCAGCGAGAGGGTGACATAATACACCCCCCTTTTCTTCAAGGTTTTCTCACTACAATGAGAATCTCCTTGCTGTAGTGAAAAGACAATAATTTAACTCATTTTTTAGAAGGCTCTCTCGCTATAGCGAGGGATCTCTCGCTGTAGCAAAAATATAAAAAAAGTGTGTAGTTTCATCTGGTTTTTTGCCTCCTCTCACTATAGCGAAAGCATTCTCGCTACAGCGAGAAGTGTCTCACTGTGGCGACATGCTTACAGTCTCAGCCCCTTACTTCACTCATCTCTTGCTGTAGTGAGAGATTTCTCACTGTAGCAAGAAGCACATATCATGCTTCCCAGACTTATCTTTACACTCTCTTAACCTTACCATTCTCCATGCTTTTTCACCCCTTAATCACTCTACCATTCAAAACCAATTCAGCTAACATTCAGCGCTCAAATTCACAACAAAATAGGAATAGATACATTGAATCATACATAGTCACAAAATACCATATTAACTTCCTAAAACAGCTAATAAATATTGAAAACAAACAACATAAAGGATAAAATGACACAAACAAACACTGGGTTACCTCCTAGGAAGCGCTTGTTTAACATCTCATAACTTGAGGTTTGTTTCTTTAAGGATCATGCAGTGAAATAATGGTGGTGAGCCTTTGTCCATTGACCACCCAACTTCTCTGAGTAGCTAGTTCTTGTAATTCCACAGCTCCATAAGGCTTCACCTCCTTCACAAGAAATGGTCCTAACCATTTTGATTTCAATTTTTTAGGGAACAACTTCAACCTGAAATTGAATAAGAGTACAAATTGGCCAGGCTTGAATTCTCTCTTGAGGATCTTTCTGTCATGATACTCCTTCATCTTTTCCTTGTAAAGTTTTGAGGATTCATATACAATGAGTCTCATTTCTTCTAATTCTTGTAGTTGAAGTTTCCTTCTCTCTCTTGAAGCTTACGGGTAAAAATTTAGGAACTTTAAAGCCCAAAATGCCTTGTGCTCAAGTTCTACTAGCAAGTGACATGCTTTCCCATAAACCAGCTGGAAGGGGGAGAGACCTGTAGGAGCTTTATATGAAGTCCTATAAGCCTAGCGTGTATCATCCAACTTAAGAGACCAATCTTTTCTTGAAGCTGTAACAGTCTTTTCCAAGATCCTCTTAATTTCTCTATTGGAAGCTTGGTCTTATAGACCCATTTTACCCCAATGATATCTTTATCTGTGGAGCAATCTACTAGCTCCCATGTGTTATTTTTCTCAATCATTTTTATCTCTTCTTCCATTGCCTTGACCCATACTTCTTGTTTTGATGCTGCTTCAAAGTTCTTAGGTTCAGTTATGGCCAGGTTACAAGTCTTGTATATATCCACCAAAGTTCTAACTCGTCTTGGAGTAGACTCTGGCAAGGAAATTGGTGGTGAAAAACTCTCACCTGAGACTTCTTCAATTTCTTGAGGTTGCTGCATTGGTATGAAAACATTTTTCTGAACCTTTTCATCTTTCCAATTCCAAGCAGCATTTTCATCAACTTCAACATCTCAACTAATGGTGAGCTTCTTGGTTTGCAAGTTGTAGACTCGATATCCTTTTAACTGTATGCTATACCCCAAGAAGATACCTCATATGGTTTTGTCTTCTAGTTTATGTCTCTTGTCTTCTGGAATGTCTATGTAACAAATTAATCCAAAAACCTTTAGATGTTTTGCTGATGGTTTTTTCCCGCTCCAAGCTTCAATTGGAGTTTTATCTGGGATAGCCTTAGTTGGACATCTGTTAAGTATGTAGACACCCGTATAAACTGCTTCATCCTAGAAGGTATTTGACAATTCTTTCTCCTTCAGCATGGATCTAGCCATCTCCATTACTGTGCGGTGCAGTTACTCCATTTTGTTGTGGAGTATATGCGATGGTAAGTTGTTGCTGAATGCCTTCATCCTCACAAAACTTATCAAACTCTTGAGAGGTATACTCTTTGCCACAATCACTTCTTAATACTTTTATTTGTTTACCACTTTGCTTCTCGACAAGGGTCTTAAACTTCTTGAATATTCCAAATACTTCTGACTTTGCTTTGATGAAGTAGACCCAAGTCATTCTAGAAAAATCATTAATGAAAAGGATAAAATATTTGTTATTATGAAGTGATGGTGTTCGCATTGGTCCGCAAATATGTGTTTCAATTAGTCTTTTGCTCTCTAAGCTTTTTCAGTAGAAAATTGCAGTCGGTGTTGCTTGCATGAGTATTGAAGTGACCAAATCTTCGATATCAAAGTTGTGAAGTATCAACTTCTGCTTTCATGGCAATATTAGTCCTTGTTGAATGTTTATTGGAAAACTTTTGTTTCTTTTCTCCATCTTTACTTGGCCAATCTCTTGCTTTTACTGTCATATATCTTACATGTGTCCCTTTGAAATGAAGAGAATAACCTTTCTCCATCATTTGGCCAATACTCAAGAGATTTTCCTTGAGGTTGGGGACTAGTAAGACATCAGTAATAAGTTTTATACCTTTCTTTGTTTGCACCATAATAGTGCCTTTGCCTTTTGGTCAGCGATAGTAACATTCCCCATTTGAACTTTCACTTTGATGGATTCGTCGATATCCTTGAAAATGTTTATATCCTTGGCCATGTGATTGCTACAACCGCTATCCAAGTACCAATTTCTGCTCGTTTCAGTGCTGGAATCTCGGGTAGCATAGAAAAGATGTGGTTCTCGATCATACTCTTCAGCGAGATTTGCTTGATACTTGTTTTTGTTGCGACAATACTTTTCCACGTGTCCAAATTTCTTGCAGTGTCGACATTGTAGTTTTTCACGATACAGACATTCTTCTTTAGCATGATTTGTTCTCTTACAGATACCGCATGGAGGATATTTATCTTAATTGTTTCTAAAGAAATTTCTAGAATTTTTTTAATTTCTAGAAGTTTCTCCATTATTCTTTCTTCCTTCATTCCTTTTATTCTGAGACCGTAATTTGAGCTTTGATTGAAAGACATTTTCTATTGAGTCCTCATCATGCCTTTTCAACCTTTGCTCATAAGTTTCAAAGGACCCTACCAACTCTGTCACTAATAGAGTAGATAAATCCTTTGTTTGCTCAATAGCAGTGACAATTGGATCATATTTACGGAAAATTATGATTAGTAATTTCTCAACAATTTTTTTGTCAAGAATATTTTTCCCGTAAGCTCTCGTTTGATTAACTATTTCTTTTATTTTGGAATAGTAATCCTTGACGGTCTTAGACTCTTTCATTTTTAATAATTCAAACTCTCACCATATAGTTTGGAGTTTTATAGTGCGTACCTTTTTTGCTTCCTTCAAACTCCTCCTGTAGCGTACTCCATGCTTCTTTGGCTGTTGTAGCACCCATTATTCTTGGAAAAATTGCGCCAGTCACAACTTGTTGTAAAGTAAACAAGGCCTTCGAGTCCTTTTGTTTATTCTCCTTCAGTTCTTTTCTTTAAGCTGTAGTAAGGGATGATATGTCTATGGAAGTAGTGAATCCTTCTTCTACAACATCCCACAAATCTTGAGAAGTAAAATATGTCTTCATTTTTGTGCTCCAAAAATAATAAATTTCACCATTGAAAATGGAGATGGGAAGAGATAATGGTTGAGTAGTGCTAGCCATGGGTTAGAAAAATTTTGGAAGTGGTTTATTTTAATTTTGGAATAGTATGATAATATTTCTACACCCAATAGATGACCGAATGCAGCTCTGATGCCACAAATAATTTTTGGTGTAAGTGAAATGAGTAAGATAGTTGAAATATGTTAGTACGAATAATTGAAAATGGTAGTTGAAGAAATTTTAGTAAAAGACTCAAGAGATGGAGAATTAATAGTTTAATTACTTCTTCTTCATAGTTTTTACAATGAGGTAGCATGTCTATTTATAGGCATCATCCACCATTATTTTTAGGTGGTTTAGTATTCTAGAATTATCTTGAAACTAGAAAATACAATTGGTTTTTTCTAGATTATTCTTAATATTTTTTCTAGACTGTTCTAAAAATTTGTATCAATTTCTAATACCAACATATATTGGATTATTATTCCAAGTGTACAAAAGACTTATGCTAATCCTAACAAATTTATTTTGAGATGTATATACGACTTAATAGACACATGCATGATTATTCAAATTGTAACAGAAGTAGAAGCATGTTAAGCATTGAAATATATTGAAGTGGAAGTTGATGCTGTTCTGTGTTCATCATCTTCCATCATCCATGGCAATCAATACATGATCTCTCAAGCTGTCATATCCAGTATTTTGTTGGTCACTACTATCACCATGTTCACGAATGCTATGTGCCTCGTGAAGTAAGTATTGGATCTCCTCATGCTCTTGGTTTGTGTTGGTCCATGGGTGCTCTTCCACGAGTTTTATTCTATCTAACTCCCTTGCCACTTCCTTCATGCCAGGTCTTTCATCCCCTCTAAGTCTCAAGCACCTGGAAGCAAGAATAGCAACCTCCATGACCTGTTCTTTATTTTCTATATTCAAAATGTCAACTTGAATAACTTCAAGCAAGCGATCCTCTTTCAAGCAAGATAGAAAGTGCACAGCAAGACTTCTTTTCTCTTCTGTCTTATCAAAAGAAAAAGGCTTCTCCCCAGTAAGCAATTCTACAAGCACTACCCCGAAGCTATAAACATCACTTTTCTCAGTCAATTGGCTAGTTTGCATATACTCTGGGTCTAAGTAGCCAAAAGTTCCTTGCACAATTGTGGCTATTTCAGTATGGTCAAGTGGAACCAATCTTGAAGCTCCAAAATCAGACACTTTGGCAGTGTAAGTGTCATCTAAGAGGATGTTGGCAGTTTTGACATCTCTATGGATGATGGGTATTGAGGCTGCTGAATGCAAATATGATAATGCTCCCGCTGCCTCTGCTGCTATCCTTAAACGAGTTTTCCAAGATACATTAGTTGTTTCCTTGCCTTTGTGTAAGTAATCAAAAAGGGTACCATTGTTAACAAATTCATAGACCAATAAAGGAACTTCTGTCTCTAAACAACAACCCAAGAGTTTGACCACATTTCTATGATTAATTTGTGATAGCACAACCACCTCATTAATGAATTGCTCAATTTGGCTCTGATCCCCTACTTTGGATTTCTTGACAGCAACAATCCTATGATCTGAAAGAAAACCTTTGAAAACTGTACCATAACCTCCTGAACCGATGATCATGCTTTCGTCATAATTGTTGGTGGCTTTCTTAAGTTGCTCTGATGTGAAAATCATAGTAGACTGGGACGAGTCTTCTATTACTGAGAGTTGTTGTTTCAGAATGATACCACCATTTTGCCGAAAGAACCTCTCCTTTAATCTGATGAGTTTTCTTTTTTGGTATATCAGGTATAACCAAGAACTCCCAAAAAGTAAAGCCATTAATCCTGCACCTACACCTATTACAAAATGTGATGGATGCAATTTCAGAATTGTGCTTTTAATTAATAACTATAACTTTTAAGAAAGGAAATTACGAGTGTATAGCTACATAAAAGAGAAGAAAAACAAAACTCAAATTTGCTTACCAGTGGCAACCTTGGTAAATTTATCATCTCGCTGCTTTTGTCGGCATCCTCCACTTTCTCTCGTTCCATTCCCGATTTGTCCCTCAGGACAGAAACATTCGAAAGACCCTTGTTTTTCACGACAATTATCTTTACTTACGCAATTGTGTTGATCATCAGTCTTACATTCCTCAATATCTACAAATATGTAATAGAAATTAGTAATAATTTCAGAAAACAACGAAGTGAAATTAAATGAAGAGCAATATAAATATTAACCAATGTTGTTAGACTACTGGTTAAGAAATTAAAAGGTTTTTATCAGAAAATAATTAATAAATTCTCTATAATTTTCAATGCGGTCTAACGTATCTGTCTAGACAAAACTTTATACTTTTATTCCTTAATTGTGTTTAAAGAATGCTGGTTAATAAAATAATTTATTAAATAAAAACTATACCCTTAATTAGTACTCACTTATTTTATTTTCTTTTACATTTAATGAGAGAAAAAATCAATTAAATGAAAACAAACTAATTCACTTTTTATAGAAAATTAATATAAAAATAAGAGAAAATATAATTTTTAAATTATGAAATAACCTCACTATTTATTAAATTTCTAAGTCAATTGCAAGTCAACCAATCATAATATTTCAATTTGCTCGCTATTTGTAAGTATTGACTTGGCATTATTGCTTCTTGCTTTAAAATTATACGCTATTTTTACTATTTTAAGTTTGTATTATTTATTCTTTAAATGATAAAGTTACGAAAGCACGAGGTTGGATGTAAAATATTCTTTATTTTTCTTAAGTTTTGATTAAAATTATTTTTTTGTGTTTTTTCTCTTGTATCATATTTTAAATTTTATTGATTTAGAGGATGCTTTGATATTTGAGGTAGATATAATTTCACAGCATAGATGATTAACAATAAAATCATAGATGTATAAATCATAATCATTACAATAGATTGAAAATAATTATTAAATATTTATTACAGAGAAAAGAAATAAGAAGTTGGTCAGAAAAAACTTGTGGACAGTTAAAAATATTTGTAGGGATGTTTTAAGAATTTTAACCAGGATTTAATAGTAAAATGGACAAATAAAGTAAAATAAAAAGAATTGTTGTCCTAAACGCTATGATTTTAAAAATTTTGTTTAAATTAAAAGACAAAATAAATTTAAAGGGTTAATTTTTGTAAAAAAAAAATACTTGAAGAATTTAATTGAATAAAAGAAAAGTTAAAGACTGAAACAAAAGATTAAATTAAATAAAAAACAAAACTTGGCTTATAGATGTGAAGTATAATTTAACGAAGCTATACTGAAGAGAAAGAAAGGCGAATGTTGAACATAATTAGTTACCTTGACAACCATTAAGGTACGGGTTTCCCTGAAAACCTTTGTTACATTGGCAAAGGTAACCAGATCTAGTGGCCGAGTCTTCGCAATGGCTATTCTTTTTACACGCATAGTCATCTTTAAGCTTTGCATTTTCACATGTATCATGTCCAACATTCCAATCAACAATTAACGGAGCCATCTCGAACGGGACACTTTTCAAATGATCCACAGAAAAGCTGTAGTTTTCTTTTTTGACAACAAAGGATAAGCTACAGTTATTAAACTCCCACGTGTCACTGAAATTGTCAAAGGTATACGCTCGCACGCTAATATTCTTCATTCCTCGAGGAATATCAACCTGGCAACACCCCACCCCCGTGCAGTTTCCATCAGCCGGCACATCCTTTGTGCTATTACATATACTTAAGCAACCCGTTGAAGATATCTCACCTTCATGAAAATTCCGGAGATAGCCGTAAGTGTCGCACCCTACACTTATGAATTTGTTATCATCGCTGGAAATGGGATAGTCTGGTAAACTAACTGTGGACCAGGTACTTTCTGTTACTTTTTCATCTGACCTCGTTTTCCTAACCTGGGAGATGTAGGTTAGCATTTCCATTTTACCCTTTAGGGTTATGTTCACAATTGGGACATTACCGTACACTAAATCATTCTGGTTGCAAGTGAAGTTCATTTTTGCCTCCAAGAAACACCTGCGACCCGTCTTTGAATTGCCTATGCCAAATGGGTATGGAATTGAAACATTTCCGCATTTGCTCGGGCAGCCGGGCAAGGCTAGGTCAGGTGGGGCAGCTCCTACCGTTGCTAAAGCAGTCACCAACAGCAGGGTCAGTTGCATCTGCATGGTCTCCGGTTTCGTTTTTAAGTTCAAGATACAACTTAGAGGTGGCTCTGGTTTTTTAGTGTATATATAAGTCCTTAATGGACACGAGAATCCTCTTGCTAGTTCAAGAATGAACAAATTTTTAGCAAGAAGGCTTTTAAAGTTGACAGGGTCACCTTGGATAGAAGTAAGAGAAAATTCAATACTACTGCTATTGCTAGTCAGTCAACCCTTTTCTTATTCTTATTAATTCGAGAAAGAGAAACGATGACTGTTTCTTCATTTCCTGAAAAATACTTTTACGTTTTGATTTTATGAAAATTTTCAACCTCATCTCCAGGTTAAGATAATCAAAAGAATATTTTTTTAAAAAATATATTAAAAATATAAAATATAATAAATATTATTTTCAATAAAACATTAAATTTAATAATTTTATTTTAAGAATATGTGTCCATGTTATATAAAAGAGATTAAAATAAAAATATATAATCATATATAATATTGCATACAGCATACAAAAATTAATATACTGGTAGTGGTAATATTGGTTCTTAGGGATGGTTCTTAAATTCAAAATTAGTTTTTCACAAGAACCATCAATAGTTATCAGCAAGAGTGTGCCACGTTTAGGGAGTAGTGTTTAGCCAGAAACCCAAAAAACTGCATTATTCTTAAAAAAAAATAAATTTAATTTTAAACCATTTTTCTCCAATTGAATGAGACCTGCAAAAAGTAATATAATAATTTAATTTTAAATAAATAATATAATAATTTTAATGGAATCTTCAAAAAGTAATTCAAGATCTTAAGCTTTAGTTCTACCATTTAAAAAATAATAATAAAGTTCTTCAAATATACATGTGGAATTCACATAAAATAAATTTAAGAACTAATTTGATTCAACCACTGAAGACGTACGTTTATGACACGTAGTATATATTCTCTTAACTAATGTGATACTATTTTAATTAATCAATTACTTTTTTTTTTCTAAATTTTCAAATTCCATGTGTTAAGCTCTAAACTTGTATCGGACACAGTGAGATGGTAATATATTAAAATAATAAAAAAATATATTATCATTCATACATGTGCAATAATAGTGCTGATGTATAAAAAAAAAAAAAACATCCAATAAAAAATTAGTTTTTAATTAATCTTTTTGTTAGAGAAATAAAATATTAAAATTGCATTATTTAAATAAAAACTTGACAATTAATAATATAAAATAGAATACATAATTTATTAACGCTTTTTTATTATATTAAATTTGCTAGTGTATAAAATAATATATTATACTAAAAAATAATTTTATCAGAGAAATATTCTAAATTATTAGTAAAAAACATTAGTATATATTGTCAATAGAGAAATATTAATATTTTATTTTTTTATTATAAAATATATTTTACTAATAATCTAATTTTTGTTAGAAAATTATATTAATACGAGTTATCTTATATTTAAGAAACACTGGTTCACTAGTCAATGCTTATTTTAATATAACATAAATTAGCATTTAGTTGATGTGGCATGTAAATATTATTATTAAATATTATTAAAGTGTAATAGTAATAAATTGACAATATTATTAAAGTGTAATAGTATTAAACCAAAATAAATGTGGAAAAATAATGGGCAGACTTGTTGACGTTTAACGAAGACTAGGTCACATAATTTGCTCTACGAGTCACATCGTCTAAAAATTACAATATTTTGTTATACAATAAATTAAATAATAAAATTATGTGTTAATTCTTTTATAAGTTTAATCTTTATATTTTTCAATTTATAATTTATATGCGTATATTCTTTATTAATTAAGCATCTACGAGTCTACGCACGGTAGATTCACTTCGTGACCCGGTGAATTCTGCATATGAAATATTAGGGCAACTGTCAATTATGTCTTCATATATTTTGGAGTCTTGGACAATTCAATAATTTATTCTATAAAAAGTATAATTAAATATCATAATATCAAAGAATAATGTCCCAATTAATCAATATTCATAGCATTCGAAACATAATAATATATAATATTAGGTATTATTTACACTAAAATCTTTTTAAATTTCTTATCATTTAATTTAAGTATAATTAAACTTTTAGTTTTTGTTCTTTTATATATGTGATTTTAGTCTCAAAATTTTAATTATTAACATTTAATTCCTCTAATCTTTTGAAATGCAAGATTTTGATTTTATTAGTTTTAATCATTCACATTTAGTTTCATTATTTTTTAAATGTATCATATTTTAGTCATTTTAATTTTTCAAATGTCTAAATTAAACTCTTCATTAAAACTTTTATTATATTTCGTACATATTATTCTATATTCTGAAAGAGGTACAATAAGGTCACTCATTCCAATATTACACTCGCTCAAGCATATTTATTTGCAGAATTCTGATATAATTTAGTACATTAGTATAGATATGATCACACCTGTCATATAAATCGAATTATACTTTGAGTTGAGGTGGCGTTGTGCGGCCCATAAAGCAATAAAAGGAAACTCCATGTGTCGAGCAAGCACCCCTTACCTTTGGAACTCTTGATCCTTGACATTTTCTAATTTATAAACACCTATTTAAGGCAAGAAAAATTTACCATTATACCTCTGCAACTAAATTTTGGAGTGAAATATTGAATTCTCAATTTTTAGTTGCTTTGCCATGTGATTCTCACACATCTCAACATTCAACTCTTCTTCCTTTATAACACGATTTGGATATGTAATTTGTATATTTCTTAAAATTACTAAACACAAATAATAATCTAGAAAGCATTAATTGACTAGGCATATGGTCCAATTCTGATAGGTAATAGATACCAAGGCTTTGCAATATTTGATTGATAACAATTCTGTATATTTCATTTATCATAAAAGTTCCTAGAGAATTCATTAGAGGAATTTTTCAATAAGTTTGTTCTTGAATGTCCAAATTGATTTTCAAAATTAATCCTGCAAATACATATAATTAAGAGAAATCTGTAAGCAATTTATATGACATTTTTTCTGTTTATCAAGGATTCTAACAATTGATATGTTTTCACAAATAATTAAAATTCCATTTCTTGATCTTTATCCTAAATTTTTGAAAACATAAAAAGTCATTTTGGTAACCTCCGATTAATGAACCTACAAAATTCTTCAAATTATATTTGATTCAATCCGAGTAATGTAGACATTTCTTCATTTCCAACTTCAAACATTTTTAATCTTTTCAAGAAAAATATCCCATAGTTTACTGTCATTCTTTATCAAATCACATAAATAAATTTAGTAATAATAGAATTTATGTTCTTTTTCTTTTTACTAAATTATATAAAATTTTACCTAACCTTGTGTATGAAATACCTATTGTAAAAGGAAGAATAAATAAAATAAAATTTACTCAACTATAAATTTACAACAAAACAAATAAATAGAATTCAAATTCGAATATAAATATAAAGACAAAAACAAATTGAATAATTCTACTTTAATTTTTGGATTTTTTAAGGCATATAAAAAAATTCCATTTATACCATTATTATGATATTACATATTCCAATTTGATTTGATATTCGAAAAAAATTAATTCAAAATTTCCTCTGCTCGGTGAGATAAATACCTAATTCAATAATCAGAAACAATATAGAATTGATTTTTTTAATATTTAACCTTTTTTAATTATTTTAAAAAAAATTTAAATTTGTAAAAAGAGAGATATTTTTACCTATTTTTTTTAAATAAGAGAATACCATTAAAGTGTGTAATTAAAGCTTGTATTTATTAAATATTAGCATATCTAACTCCAACTCTCTCTCTCTCTATATATATATATATATTACTTTATTGGAGTCATAACCATTAACAAAAGCACATGACATGTCATGTTTATTTTCTTATTTTCTGTACATAACCCTAAATCCTATAGTATAGTTATTATAAATAGATAAGACATCCACTTAGATAATATTTGTGTAACAATTCAAATTTATATTATAGGATTTATATATATTAACAGTTGTTGTTATAATTGAAATGGAAAAAAGTTTTTTTTTTTTTTTAAAAAAAAGGTTGGTTGGTTATGTATAATTTTGATTTTGTTATTTCATTAAAAAAAAATCTTAGATGTAAATTTTTAAGAATCATCCAAAAATCTATAGTTAACGGTTGAAATTTGTCTCGAAAATGGTATGTTATGTGTGAGAATCCTGAAATGCAAAGTCAATAGAAAAAATAATTTCATAATAATGAAATAAAATTTAAGGGTAGAGAAAGTAATTTCATAATATTCTATTTAAAGGAAGTTATCTTGTTAACTTATTTACATATAATACACTAACTCTCGGAATTATTCACTTAAATTTTCTATCTTTTCTTGTGAAATATTGATTTATCATTACTATTCATGTCATTTTCTTGTTCTTATACCTTGTTCACTTGTTCCTCCTCCGTCTACGCCTCTAAGGAATGTCAGGTGTCAATAGTGACAAACATACTTGACCAATAGACTTAGTAATCGTTTTGTTAATACTCGTAAATTGGGATGTAAACAGAAAACAGACATGTTGACGCTTGACCAAGGCTTAGGTCGCGTAACATTGTCCCTGGTTTACGTCCTCTGAAAATTTCAATATCTTATTATACAATTAATTAATATAAATAAATAAAATACAAATTTAATTATAAAAGCGTGATATTTTTTTATAAGTTTAATATTTTATTTTAAATTTATAATTTATATGTATATATCATTTATCAATTAAACAGTAAGATTAATAAATAAAGATTATTCGTCACAATTAACCCACTAATTCCATCATATTGAACAGATAAAAGATAAAAGGTGAAGCTTGGGTCAGCAGTCAATTCACTTCGGGACCGTGTGGATATCTCGTATAAAATGCCCGCGGAGCTATCAATTATGTCTCTGTCTTGGAGAAGATGCAATGAATTTTCAAATTTTATAATTACAATTATTTTTTATAGTTGTACAATTTATTTATTTTTTTCTATTAAATGAGGCTTAAAAGCCCAAAAAAACACAAAACAACTAGGTTAAAAACCTAGGCCAAGAGACCTGAAGAGCATCCAGCCTTAGAAAAGGTTCTAAAGAAGTGAGAGTTTTATCAAAACAATAGAAAGACAACCCAACTTCATCTCCTAATTTAGCCATCCAATCAGTACATTAGTTAGCTTCCCTAAGAACATGGTTAAATCTAACAAAACGAATATTTCTAAGAAGGTCCCTAATTTTCTTGATAACAGAATACAAAGAATGATCACTATTCTGAACATTAACAACTAAATGCAGGGCATCCTTACAATCACAATCAATCCAAAGAACATGACTAAATTTGAAATAGCCAGCTTAAGGTCCCAAACAAGACCCCAAACTTCAGCCTCAAAAGGAGTACAAAAATGAAGGGACTTACAAAAACCAGTTATGAAATCGCCTTTGTGATTTCGAATAAGGTCCCCACAACTAGTTTTTCTCAAAGATTGAAAGACAGAGCCATCACTATTAAGCTTGAATTGCTTCTCAGGGGAGGTTGCCATTTGATTTGATCCTGAGGCTGCAGCCTACAACCATGAACAGCACCAGTATCCCTGCCATAAGATAGCAGATACTTAAGCTCAAACACAATCTTATTCAGCAAACCATCATTGTTCAAAGGAGAATTTTGAAATATAACACAATTCCTATTTTTCCAAAGATTACAAGTAACAATAGCAAACAGAGATTTCCAACAAGGATACAAGGCAAAATTTTGAGAATTCAAGTTTAAAAGAAGCCAATTAGTCATCCCCATGATAAAAAATGAAGACCATTTATCAAGAGGAAGGAGCTTGAGCCAAATTTGAGAAGCCCACCAGCAATCCCTTAAAACATGAATAATAGATTCTGGGGTAGAATTACATCTTGCACATTAAGGAGAATTAGTCATTTTACGGTTAAATCTTTCCTCATTAGTTAGAAGTCTACCATGAGAAATTTTTCAAAGAAAAACAGATAAACTATGAGGGCCCTTCCAGTCCCAAATAAGTTCAAAAACCTTATTATTACTACTATTAACACTCAGATTATCTCTAGAGACAAGAGTATAAGCTGATTTAATTGAGAACAACCCATTACTATTAAGCTTCCAAAAAACCTGATCCTTACTATTAGATAAAATAGGCAGCTCAATAAGAGCAATAGAATCACAAACAGATCTAGGGAGCAAATTTTTAAATTCCACCCAATCCCAGCAACCCTGCAGAGAATAAAGAGCCACTGGATCCTCCAACTCTGTCTCAGGAATAGGCAAAACAGAACAGCTAGAAAGTTTAGGAAGCCCAGGGATCCAACTATCCTTCCAGAATTTTACAATCATACCATTACCTAAAACCCAGCCAAGCCCAAGGGAAAAACAGTCCCAAACGCCTATTGGAAACTCTAGGGAATTTTCCTAAATCAAAGCTATATTTGTTACCTAGAACTTGGGACCAAAGATCATTAGGAGAAATTAAAAGCCTCCAACACAGTTTCATAATAAAAGCTTTATTAAAAATATTAATGTTTCTAAAACCCAAACCCCCTTCACTCTTAGGTTTGCAGACAATCCTCCAATTAATTAAATGACATTTTCTCCTATTTAAAGAGCCCCATATAAAATTTTACAGATTCTATCAATTTCTTTACAAACAATTTTAGGAATAGTGATAGCCTGCATAAAATAATTAGAATACTCATTAAACAAGACTGAGCAAGGGTGATTCTACCAGCCATAGACAAGGAATTCATTTTTCAAATTGAGAGTTTCTTCCTAATTTTATCTACACTACGCTAGAAATTGGCTTTTCGATCGCCAAATTAGATAGCGGTTAGTAATAACCGCTTTGTATATAAATCTAAGAGAGCGGTTCTGACAGAACCGCTCTCTAATATGTACTTATGAGAGCAGTTTAAACGAAACCGCTCTCTAACATGAACTTGTGAGAGCGGTTCAACTGGAAACACTCTAATATTGACATTTCAAAGCGGTTCATATGGAACCGCACTCTAAAATGGACATTTGAGAGCGGTTGTAAAATAACTGCTCTAAGAAGTCTATTTTAGAGAGCGGTTCCATATGAACTGCTCTCAGATATCCATATTAGAGAGCGGTTATTTCATAACCGCTCTCAGAAGTTGTATTTTTAAAACCCTAACTGGGTTATCCCTGTCGCCCCGCCAAGCCTGTACTTCAAAATTCTCTGTGTTTCAGTGTTCTTTGAGAATTTTTTTGCAGAGGAAGAAGCACATCTGACATCGCAATCGCACATTGAAGGTATATTCATAATCTTTTCTTTGTTTTCTGGCCATTTTTGGACATTCACAGTCTCTAATTCTCTCTGTTCACTAATACGTATCTCTGTTTTTGACGTTGAACAGTGACAACGTCTCCTCCATTTCTGGTCTCCTGCTGAACTGCGACAAATTTGCACTCGTCTCTTAATTTCAGGTTAGTGCATGCTGTTGTGTTTAGAATTTGTATGAACTAAATATTGTTTACATGTTGACCATTGCTGCCGCGTGAACAAATGAGCATGAAATGACTTTTTATTTTGTAAAAGTTGATATGGGCAAGTTGAATCTTAGTTTGTTAACCTCTGAAATGTTGTTGGAATGATTTTTTAGGATTTGTTGAACATGATATTAGGACACAGCTGGTTAGTTATAATGGAAAAGCATGCTGTTGTGTTTGTTAACCTATGATATTAGGCATTTAAAAATTTTGATATTCTTGTTTGTTTTGCCCCCAAAATGTATATTTCCTCTGTGTATGAATGAATTTGATGTTGTATTGTAGAATGTGATGAATGCATGATTATTGTTAATTATGAAACTTTGTAGGTTATGATTTACCGTTGTAAAATTGAGTGAAACCATAGTTTCCCGTTTGAGAGTGAAAATAATGTTTTAATAAATCATTATTTTGAATCTCAAATTGTCCAAGTTGGACAGTTTGTGAACAAACTTATTCATTAATTTGTTAGCATTTGCTTCTCATAATGTTGTATTTAATACTTAATAAAATTTGAGTTTGAAACATTTCTCATTGTCTCTTGGTGCATGCTTGATTGAGGTAAATCATCTCATATATTTCAAGTTGTGTACTAGGAGACTAATGGGAAATACTGCCCAAATTTTGTCAAGTAAAATATACAATATTTAAGTAGCATTTGTTAATTAAGGTTGGAAAAAGTTTGTTCTCAAATGGGATAGGGCCCTACCATGTGAGAGTTAATAAGACATTCACATTTATAATGATCGTAACCATAGTTGGAGCAAATATGGATCGAAGTTGGATGGTAGCTGATCGTTTAAGTGAAGAATACGAAGACGGAGTCAAAGAGTTTATTAGATTTACGATTAAGAATGCAATTGATGTCAACCTTATTCCCTGTCCTTGTTGGTGTTGTTTGAATATGTTACAAGTAAATGCGGAAGAATTGGAAGAACATCTAATGTGCAATGGGATAGATGAAAAATATGCTTGTTGGACAAAGCCCGGTGAGATACAAGGTGGAAGTACATCAACTAACATGGAATCAAATGTCAATTACTCAGAGACATTTAGAATAAATGAGAGTGATCATGCTGAACAAATTCTAAATGTTGTTGAAGAAGATCATAGAGATTGTCCAAAGATGTTTGAGAGGCTGAAAGATGATGCAGAAACACCATTGTATAATTAATGTACAAAGTTCACAAGATTGAGTTCTATTTTAAAGCTTTATAACTTAAAAGCGTCGAATGGATGGACTGATAAGAGCTTCATAAAGTTGCTAAGTTTATTACATGAGATGCTACCAGAGGATAATGTACTACCAAAGAGAACATATGAGGCTAAACAAGTACTTGCTTCCATTGGATTGACCCATGAAAAGATACGTGCTTGTCCTAATGACTGCATTTTGTTCTGAAATGAGTATACATCACTAAGGAGATGTCCAAAGTGTAATGTATCACGATACCTAAAGAAAGACACAACACCTGCGAAGTTTGTGTGGTATTTTCCACTAATACCGAGGTTAAGACGTCTTTTTTGCAGTGCTGATAATGCAAAGTAGATGACTTGGCATTCTGAAGGCCGAATTAGAGATGGAAAGCTTAGGCATCCAGCAGATTCTCCGCAGTGGAAAAAATTTGACGATGACCATGAAGAGTTTGCAACTGAAACAAGGAATATACGTTTTGCATTAGCAACCGATGGAATGAATCCACATGGCATGCAAAGTAGCACCTATAGTACATGGCCCGTGATCTTAATAATGTATAACTTACCTCCATGGCTTTGCATGAAGCGAAAATATATGATGCTTTCATTGTTAATCTCTGGTCCTAAACAACCTAGAAATGACATTGATGTGTACTTGTCTCCTTTAATTGAAGATTTGAAGTTGTTGTGGGATAATGGCATAGAAGTATATGACGGATTTAGAGATGAAAATTTCATTGTGAAGGCAATGTTGTACGGAACAATTAATGACTTTCTTGCATATGGAAATCTTTCTGGTTACAGCATCAAAGGTAAATGTGCATGTCCAATATGTCAGGAAAAAACAGATTATATAAAACTAGACCATTGTCACAAAAATGTTTTCATGGGGCATCGTAGGTGGTTGTCAAAAAATCATCCTTTTTTGAAAAATGAAAAAAACTTTTAATGGAAGTTGCGAAGTACGACGATGTCCTTATTTGAAGAGTGGATCAGAAATATTTGATGAGGTTAAACACATAAGAACAACATTTAGAAAATCTTTTACCAAACAAATTCCAACCGCAGGTTGGAAGAAGATGTCAATTTTCTTTCAGTTATCGTACTGGGAATCTTTATACGTAAGATACTTTGTTGATGTTATGCATGTTGAAAAAAATGTTTGTGAAAGTGTGATTGGTACGTTATTAGACATTGTGGGAAAGAAGAAAGATGGCATCAATGCAAGACTTGACTTGGTGAAGTTGGGAATACGATTCGATTTGGCTCTAGTGAAGAAGGGAAAGCAGACCTTTTTACCTCCAACAGCATGTACCCTGTCTAGAAATGAGAAACGTGCTTTATGTGAGACTCTTTATTCAGTCAAGGTTCTAGAGGGATATTCATCAAACATTAAAAGTCTTGTATCACTTAAGGACCTAAAGTTAAAAGGATTGAAGTCTCATGATTGCCATATATTAATAGAGAATTTAATTCCTGTTGCTATACGGTCTATTCTACCCAAAAAGGTTCGCATGGCAATCACGAAGTTGTGTTTCTTTTTCAAGGCAATATATAGCAAAGTGATTGATTCTGGGAGATTAACAAGTTTCCAAAACCAAATAGCTGAAACTTTATGTGAGCTGGAAATGTATTTTTTACCGTCATTCTTTGATATCATAGTTCATTTGACTATTCACTTGGTTGAAGAGACAAAATTATGTGGCCCTGCATATATGCGATGGATGTATCCCGTTGAAAGATATATGAAGATTTTAAAAGGGTATGTTAAGAATAGAAGCAGACCAGAGGGTTGTATTACTGAACAATATTTAGTGGAAGAAGCAGTGAAATTTTGTTCTGAATATTTGTCAAATGTTGAATCATGTGGCATTCCAAAATCATGTCACCATGGAAGGACTTTAGGGGAAGGTAGCAGTGGTTGTCAACAAATAGAGGTCCCTAGACTGCAATGGGAACAAGCACACTTGTATGTATTACAAAACACTCCTGAAATTGAACCATACATAAGCTTGCACAAAGATACACTGAAGCGTAGAAATCCTACCAGAAGTGAGAATTGGATAACAAAAGAACATAATGTGCAATTCATTGGATGGGTACAAGAACATATTGGTGAAAAGTTGAAACAAAGGAACACATCGATTTCATAATTGATTCGATGGTTGTCAAAAGGTCCTTGTATTGATGCCTTCTCATACACTTCGTACTTAGTAAATGAGTTCACATTTTACACAAAACAACATGACGACCAAAGCACAATGCAGAATAGTGGAGTCACTCTGGTTGCTGAATCATTGCATATCTCCAGTGCAAAGGATAAAAATCCAATATATGCAAATATGTCATACTTTGGATTCATTGAACATATATAGGAGTTGGATTACACTAACTTTCGTGTAGCAATCTTTGGATGCAAGTGGGTAGACAACAACAGTGGTGTTCGCATTGACGATATGGTCTTTATAAGGGTGGATTTTAAAAAGGTCAGTTACCAAGATGATTCGTTTATCCTTGCATCACAGGCTCGACAGGTGTTCTACATCATAGATCCTGTAGACAAGTCATGGTCAATTGTCTTAACGTCTAATAAAATAAATGCTTTCACCGATGGAGAATTAACAGAAGAAGTTAATGTCGAGGATGATCCTTTGAGGAGTGTGATGGGACATATTTTATTGTGTAATTACATATCATTATGGCCCTAATTACTATCACATTTAGGCTTAATTTTGTGGTAGTTTAATGTTTGTTAACTGTCATTTGAATTGTAGACTTAATTGCAAAACTAATTAAATTTCATGTTTATTGGAAGTTTGACCTTTGCTCAGTGCTAAGGACATATCTAGAGCTACGGGACTCCAAATCGAGCGATTCTAAGTGCGTTGTATAGCTAAGAGGCAAAGCTATAAATGTCTCTCCCGTACATCATCCAAATCCAACTGGAAGATGGCCAAATTTGAGGTTTTGGCCCAATTTGGAATGCTTCTAGAAGATCCAATGAGTGGGTCCAGATTTTGAGGGGGAATAACCCTAATTGAAAACAACGCCAGCGAGAAACATTTTTTTTTTTCGGCACACTCACTAGATATTTTTCTTACGTAACTTCTCTCGGAGAATGGATAGCTCTCGGATTCTTCTTGTTTTTCTTGGATAATTTTCAAAGTTTATTTCTAATTCCAATTCAGGTTCTCCAATTTATGCTCGCGTAACTCTTCTTCCTCCTTCAATTTATGCTTTAAATATTTTTAATTTAGATTGGGTGTTGTTCTTTGTTCTTGGTTCTATTTTCGGTTTTGCTCCCTTCAATTCTTTAAATCTTGCTGTTTAATCATTTGTTGTTGATTACAGTTTTGGGTTACATTGCTGTTTTGATCTCTTGGTTATAAATTCTAGTTTTTGAATTTGTAAGTTTACATTTTGTTTATATTCCGGTTCTAATTGATTAGCTTGGAGTAGATTTTAAGTTGATTCACTAATCGGATTATGAATTGTATGCCCGGATTGTATCTTGTTTTGCTTCACCAATTATTGTTGTTAATCTCTTGATTTAATGCTTAATTGATTTTCTTAATCTTGCTTAATGAATCAGAATGTTATTTCGGTTGGATTCATGGTGAAATCGAATTCACAATTATGCTTAGTAAATGTTGTTTTGGTAAAACCATGTATTAAATCCGGGATTAGCTTATGCAATATTTAATTGTAATTTCTTAATTTAATTCTCGCTTAGTGGATTGAGTTGAGGAGCAAGATTAGTGAATGAAATTAATTAATGTCAATCTGGTGCAAGCAATTCGTAATCTTGTTAAGTAAATCAATATCTTGCATTTTTAGATTTGTTAGTGTTTCATTCTGTTTTGCCAACAACTGTGTGATTTGAATTTTGTTTGAGTTTTGTTTAAAATTTTTTATAAAACCCCCCATGTTTGCTGTTTTTAATTTTGGTTTGTTGAATCTTTGACCAAATCCGTTGTTCCTTGGGAGACGATCTAGGTCAACCCCTAGCTGCATTTAATTGCAATACTTTTGACTGAGTACGGCAATCATAAAAAATTTGGCGCCGTTGCCGGGGAATAACGATTTTGTCAAAGGTCTCTTCGAATAATTATAGTGTTATGTTATGTTCTATTATTGTTAATGTACTGCCCTATTTTGAAATTGAATTATATTCTAGTTATGTGTAGCACTTAATAGTAACATGAACTTAGCATTAACACTTGTTTTGGTTTGAATAAATTGTTGTTGTGAGTTACATATCAATTGTGTATTAGGAATTTGGTTTGCTGTTGGTCATTGCAGTGCATGTTCTAATCTCGAATTCTAGATTGGAGGTTCAAATTCCATGGGGTTTGAATTGGAAGCAAGGTGCTGATTGCATAATTTTGAACAGTACATCAATTTATAGTGAAGTGGTGATGAGTACTCATATAGTTGATTAGTGTATGACTAGAAGCAATCCTGGGAATTTGTATCCACTTGACCCTGAAATTGGTAGAACCTACCACAGATTGGATAAGCAGTCTAGGCGTAGTAGACATTCATCCCTTGAATCCATCCCTCTAGAGGATCCTATTCCTGTTGATTCTTTTGTTGTTGAGACTGATACTGATTCTACTTCTGTTGCATTTGAGCATATTTTATCTGTTGCATCTAATTTTATATTTGAAAACATGGCTCAGCCTCCACCTCGTGAGAGGACTCTTAGGGAGTTGGCTGCACCTGACTTTACATATGAGAGTCTGTGCATCCAGTATCCTAATGAGGATGTGCCCTATGTTCTCAAGACTGGACTGATCCATCTTTTGCCAAAGTTTCATGGTCTTGCAGGTGAGGATCCACATAAGCATCTGAAAGAGTTCCACATACTTTGTTCCACCATGAAACCACCAGAGGTCCAGGAGGATCACATTTATCTGAAGGCATTCCCACATTCTCTAGAGGGTGTCACCAAGGATTGGCTTTACTACCTTGCACCTGGTTCTATCACTAGCTGGAATGACCTGAAGAGGGTGTTCTTAGAAAAGTTCTTCCCTACATCCAGGACCACAGCAATCAGAAAAGACATATCAAGCATCAGACAGCTTTCTGGGGAGAGTCTATATGAGTACTGGGAGAGATTCAAGAAATTATGTGCGAGTTGCCCCTACCATCAGATCTCAGAGCAGCTCCTCCTTCAGTACTTCTATGAGGGGTTGCACCACATAGAGTGCAGCATGATTGACGCTGCCAGTGGTGGAGCTTTGGGAGACATGACCCCAGCAGCAACTAGACACCTTATTGAGAAGATGGCTTCTAATTCTCAGTAGTTCAGTGCTAGACAGAGTGATGCCATAATCAGCAAAGGGGTTCATCATATGGGTGCCAGCAGTGCTTCAGCCTCAGCCGACACGAAGAAATTAAAGGGGAAGCTTGATGCCTTAGTGAATCTAGTCACTCAGCTTGCAATTCAGCAGAAATCCTCCCTAGTTGCCAGAGTCTGTGGCATATGTTCCTCAGACCACCATACTGATCTATGTCCCTCACTGCAGCCATCCACAGCTGCTGATCATCCTGAGGCATATGCTGCTAATATTTTTCAAAGACCTCCCCAGCACTCTCAGCAGCAGTACAGTTCTGACCTATCCTCGAATAGGTATAATCCAGGTTGGAAGAATCATCCGAATCTTAGATGGTCTAATTCCTCTCAACAGCCGTAGCACCACACACCACCACCACCATATCAGGGCCAGAGTTCTAACAGATATGTGCCACCACCTCATAGACAGCAGGTACCTGACACACATGTTCCAGCTGCCACTCCTCCCCCTTCTTCTGAACCATCATTGGAAGAGTTGGTTAGGAAAATGGCATTATAGAACATGTAGTTTTAGCAGGAGACCAGAGCGTTCATTCAGAGTTTGACCAGTCAGATGGGGCATTGGCTACTCAGATTAATCAGTCACAGGCACAGACTTATGACAGATTACCATCCTAGTCTGTGCAGAATCCAAAGAACGTGAGTTCCATCACCTTGAGGTCCGGGAAGCAGCTTGATGTACCTTCTCTAGTCCCATCTATTGGTTCCCTATCTGCACCTTCCACCTCTGTGTCTCCAGAGACAGTGATTGATGATTGCAGTCCTGCAATTTAGGTACCTTCATCCAATGTGAAATCCACTCCGCACCAGCAGTCCCACATTCCTCTCCCATTCTCATCCAGACCTATTCAGAGTAAGAAGATGGAGGAGTTAGACAAAGAGATTCTTGATACCTTCAGGAAGGTAGAGGTGAATATACCTCGCTTGATGCCATCAGACAGATTCCCAGATATGCCAAATTCCTGAAGGTGCTATGCACACACAAAAGGAAGCTCAAAGGTAATGAAAGAGTCAGCATGGGCAGAAATGTGTCTGCTTTGATAGGTAAATCCATTCCTCAGATCCCTAAAAAATGTAAAGACCCAGGCACTTTCTGTATTCCATGCATCATAGGTAATAGCAAATTTGAGAATGCTATGTTAGACTTAGGAGCTCCCATATATGTGGTGCCACTTTCTATTTTTGATTCTCTTTCTCTTTGACCTCTGAAACCTACTGGGGTGGTGATTCAATTGGCTAATAGAAATGTTGCCCACCCCACAGGTTTTGTTGAGGATATCTTGATTCGAGTTGGTGAACTCATTTTTTGTGTTGATTTTTATATTTTGGATATGAAAGAAGGATTTTCCCATGGTTCCGTTCCAATCATTTTAGGTAGGCCATTTTTGAAAACAGCTTGAACCAAGATAAATGTCCATGCTGGTACACTTTATATGGAAGTTAGTGATATAGTAGTTCGGTTCAATATTCTTGATGCTATGAAATATCCATCTGAGGATCATTCTGTTTTTAGAGCTGAACTACTTGATGATCTTGACTGCTTTGATGATGTTATTGATGATTTTGTTTCTGATCTAATTGTTGGTTCCGATTCCTTACATGTTGAGAAGCATTCTGTTTTTTATTTTATTTTCACTCTCTTCCCACATGCACTGGATCTGAATCTGATATTGTTGATATTGATGTTAATTCTGAGTTTGATTATGCACTTTCGGGTGTTGTACCCCTGGATTGTGATTTTGTAGAGTCAGAATGTACTAACCATGTCGCAGGAATTACATATGCATCTAACTCACTTCTTGAGGTACAGGTTGAGGGACCCACTCCTTCCTCTATTCTGGTTCCTTTAGCACAGCCACCACCCACAGTTGAGCTCAAACCATTGCCAGAGGACCTGAAGTATGCATATTTGGAGGATGGTCAGAAATGTCCAGTCATCATTTCCACCTCTCTTGCTACTGATCAGGAAGATAGATTGTTGACAGTACTCAGGAAGCATAAGAAGGCCATTGGATGGACCCTGGCAGACATTCCTGGTATTAGCCCATCCACTTGCATGCACAGGATTTCATTAGAGGATGGTACTAAACCAGTGAGATAGCCATAGAGGAGACTCAACCCAGTCATTTCAGATGTCGTGATGAAGGAGGTGACCAAGCTTTTGCAGGCTGGCATTATTTATCCCATCTCTGACAGTCAGTGGGTAAGTTCAGTTCAGGTAGTGCCAAAAAAGTCAGGCCTTACAGTAGTGAAGAATGAGCGAGATGAGATTATTCCTACTAGAGTGCAGAACAGTTGGAGAGTCTGCATTGACTATAGGAGGCTGAATCAGGCGACTCGAAAGGATCACTTTCCTTTGCCTTTTATTGATCAGATGTTAGAGCACCTTGCAGGTAAATCTTCCTACTGCTTCCTTGATGGTTTCTCTGGTTATTTTCATATATACATTCATCTTGCTGATCAGGAGAAAACCACTTTCACCTGCCCCTTTGGCACTTTTGCCTATAGAAGGATGCCTTTTGGCCTATGCAACGCCCCTGGTACATTCCAGCGGTGCATGCTCAGTATTTTTAGTGATTTTCTAGAGAGTTGCATAGATGTGTTTATGGATGATTTCACTGTTTATGGCACATCTTTTGATTCTTGCCTTGATAGTCTGGATAGAGTTCTAAATAGATGCATTGAGTCTAGCCTTGTTCTGAATTTTGAGAAATGTCATTTCATGGCAGAACAGGGCATAGTCTTAGGGCATATCATTTCTAGTAGGGGCATTGAGATAGATCCTGCTAAAGTATCTATAATTTCGCATTTGCCTTACCCCTCCTGCATGCAGGAGGTTCGATCTTTTCTTGGTCATGTAGGTTTCTACAGGCACTTTATCAAAGACTTCAGTCAAAAGGCCCTACCACTATCTAGCTTGCTGCAGAAGGATGTTGATTTTGTTTTTGATGATAGGTGTAAAGAGGCTTTTGATTGCCTCAAACAGGCCCTAACCAACACTCCTATCATTCAGGCACCGGATTGGACAGCACCCTTTGAGCTGATGTGCGATGCTTCCAATTATGCACTAGGGGCTGTTCTTGCTCAGAGAATAGATCGACTCCACCGAGTCATCTATTATGCTTCTAGGACTTCAGATGCTGCCCAAGCAAATTATACCACTACAGAGAAGGAGCTTTTAGCTATTGTTTTTGCACTTGAAAATTTTAGGTCTTATTTGCTTGGTTCTCTTGTTATTATGTATACTGACCATGCAGCTCTAAAGTACTTGTTGAAGAAGGCTAATTCTAAGCCTAGGCTGATCAGGTGGATGTTGTTGCTCCAGGAGTTTGACTTGGAGATCAGAGATAGGAGCGGAGCACAGAATTTAGTGGCAGATCACCTGAGCCGAATTGAGAGAGCCACTGATCCTTTACCAATCTGGGATGACTTCCCGGATGAATGGTTGTTTGCTATTTCTTCCCCCACCCCTTGGTTTGCTAGTATTGTAAATTATTTGGTTGCTTCTGTTTTTCCTCCCTTGGCATCTAGATCTCAGATTGATAAAATTAAGAGTGATGCCAAGTACTTTATTTGGGATGACCCCTATTTGTGCAAGTTGTGCAGTGATCAGGTTACTCGGAGATGCATTCCAGATCATGAGATCGAGTCCATCCTGCATTTTTGTCATGCTTCTGCACCTGGTGGGCATCTTGGACCTCAGCGAACAGCTCGCAAGGTGCTTGATCGTGGATTTTATTGGCCCACCATCTTTAAGGATGCGTGGAAGACTTGTAGCACTTGTGAGCAGTGCCAGAGAGCTGGAGGAGCCCTTTCTTGGAGACAGCAAATGCCTCAGCAGGCTATGCTATTCTGTGACGTGTTTGATGTCTGGGGTATAGATTTCATGGGCCCTTTCCTGTTTCTTTTGGTTTTGTTTATATTCTTCTGACTGTTGATTATGTTTCAAAATGGGTGGAGGCTAAGGCCACCCGGACTAATGATGCTCGGGTTGTTGTGGATTTTGTCAGATCTAACATTTTTTGCAGGTTTGGTATACCCAGAGCTATTGTTAGCGACCAGTGCACTCATTTTTGTAATAGGTCCATGCAGGCCTTGCTCCGGAAATATGGGGTAGTTCACAGATTCTCCACACCATATCACCCCCAGACTAACGGACAGGCTGAGATTTCAAACAGGGAGATCAAGAAGATTTTGGAGAAGATTGTCCAGGCCAACAGGAAAGATTGAAGTACCAGACTTCAGGATGCTCTCTGGGCGCATAGGACTGCTTACAAGGCACCTATTGGGATGTCTCCCTACCGGGTTGTCTTTGGTAAAACATGTCATTTGCCAGTGGAGATAGAGCATCGGGCTTATTGGGCTGTGAAGACTTGTAATATGTCCTTTGATCTAGCTGGTGAGGAAAGGAAGTTGCAACTGAATGAGTTGGATGAGATCCGTCTTGAAGCCTATGAGAACTCTAAGTTCTACAAGGAGAAGACCAAGAGATTTCATGATAGCTAGGAAAGAATTTGTGGTTGGTCAACAAGTTTTATTATATAATTCTAGGCTTGGTCTCATGGGTGGTAAGCTTCGTTCTAAGTGGATTGGACCTTTTGTTGTGCTTAATGTTTTTCCTTATGGTACAGTTGAGATCAAAAGTGAATCCACAGGTAAGAGCGTCAAGGTTAATGGGCACCGCCTGAAGCCTTTTCTCACTAACCCTTCTTTGGTGGATACTATAGTGGAGGAGGTCGCCTTGTTGGACCTTGCATCTTTTACATCACCATGACTCAGGGAGTTTTCCTTTTCTCTCTTTCCTTTACTTTCACTGCATATGTCTGACTCTAGATTGTCTGGATTGAGCTGTTTTTATGCCACATTGGTACACTGTGTAGTTTAAGTGTGGGGGGGAGACTTTTTGGTTTTGTTTTCTTTTTGGTCTTGTTTTGTTTTGTTTTGTTTTGGCTTTCCTTGTGAGTTCTTGGATTTGTATAGGTAATAAACACTCTGTGCATTCTTGGTTTTGAGTTTCCTGATGTTTCATGAATAGAATTCTGTGTATTTCTTGGCATGTTAAGTTTATCTTGAGGTTTGAGTGGTGGTTTTGAAAGTAACTGATTTACCCTGTGTAAGGATTTGAGCTTCCATCTTTGATTCTTTCTTGTGTGTATGCCACTTGATTGCTTGCACATGTGGCTTGGCTTGACTCTTTTTCATGATTCTTAATCTATATGCATATTTGGAAGTGATTAAGGCATTTTTGTTCTTAAGCCTCTAGCCAAATAAGCCTACCCTGATTGAATTCCTTTGATAGCTCCTTTGAGCCTATGCTTTTCCCTTTCTTTGTTTTGACGCTCACCATTAGCCTTAAGTGAAAAAAAACCATGATTACCTTAACCTTAGGGAATTTTGGAGCTTTGGAATTGTTTTGGGAACAAGTGTGGGGGTGTGCGTGTGTTCATTGGATTCTTATGAATTGGCTAGTTGGTTTTCTTGGTTCCTTTTACTTTTTGTCTAGTAAATATGTTTTGTATCTTGTCTCTTGCAGTAAATTCAAAAAAAAAAAAGAAAGAAAAAGAAAAAAGAAGAAAAAGAAGAAAAGAGCAAAAGAAAAGAATTTAAAAAAATGGATAAAAAGAGACAAGGCAAATGAATAAAAGTGTTTGATGGAGCCGATAAGAGGATTAGATTAGAGGTTTTAGGTATGCTTTTATTTGTATTATGACTTGTTCCCCATTGCTCCTCTATTCTCTTTGGTTTTAGCTTCTTATCCATATTTTATCCTCCCTTGTCCTTGGCCCCATTACAACCCTGAAAAGTCTTTTTGATCTGATTATGCATGTTTTGAGTGCTGATTTTAGAGACTTGTCAAGTCTTTGTGTTGCTTGTTTTCTTGAGTACATTGAACTGAAATTGAATACCTAGACACTTGAGAGACACTTGAGCGATCTTCTGAGATTTGGTTGTTTTTGATTCACCTCTTGAACTGATCGATGTGCTTGTCATGTTTTGAGATATTTGAATGATGTTCATGGATGTTTGGTTGCTTTGACTGGGTTTGTTACAGGTTGTCTGTTCCTTACATTTTCTAAGGTTCACATTGGTTAATAAACTATTTTCTCCCTTGTGTTTCTCCTTTTGGGAGTTGTTGTTTGATTTGATTTTGCCCTGAAGTGCAAAAGGCTAAGTGTGGGGATATTTGATGGGACATATTTTATTGTGTAATTACATATCATTATGGCCCTAATTACTATCATATTTAGGCTTAATTTTGTGGTAGTTTAATATTTGTTAACTGTCATTTGAATTGTAGACTTAATTGCAAAACTAATTAAATTTCATGTTTATTGGCAATTTGACCTTTGCTCAGTGATAAGGACATATCTGGAGCTACGGGACTCCAAATCGAGCGATTCTAAGTGCGTTGTATAGCTAAGAGGCAAAGCTATAAATGTCTCTCTCACGGGAATCGTCCAAATCCAACTGGAAGATGGCAAAATTTGAGGTCGAAAAATCACCACGGAATCTGCCCTGCACATGTCCGAATTTGGGTTTTGTTTTCTCATATTTTATTTTTAGTTTTGGCCCAATTTGAAATGCTTCTAGAAGATCCAATGAGTGGGTCCAGATTTTGAGGGGGGAATAACCCTAATTGAAAATAGCGCCAGCGAGGAACATTTTTTTTTTTGGCACATTCACTAGATATTTTTCTTACATAATTTCTCTCAGAGAATGGATAGCTCTCGGATTCTTCTTGTTTTTCTTGGATAATTTTTAAAGTTTATTTTTAATTCCAATTCAGGTTCTCCAATTTATGCTCGCGTAACTCTTCTTCCTCCTTCAATTTATGCTTTAAATATTTTTAATTTAGATTGGGTGTTGTTCTTTGTTCTTGGTTCCATTTTTGGTTTTTGCTCCCTTCAATTCTTTAAATCTTGCTATTTAATCATTTGCTTGTTGATTACAGTTTTGGGTTATATTGCTGTTTTGATCTCTTGGTTATAAATTCTAGTTTTTGAATTTGTAAGTTTACATTTTGTTTATATTTCGATTCTAATTGATTAGCTATGGAGTAGATTTTGAGTTGATTCACTAATCGGATTATGAATTGTATGCCCGGATTGTATCTTGTTTTGCTTCACCAATTATTGTTGTTAATCTCTTGATTTAATGCTTAATTGATTTTCTTAATCTTGCTTAATGAATCAGAATGTTATTTCGGTTGGATTCATGGTGAAATTAAATTCACAATTATGCTTAGTAAAGGTTGTTTTGGTAAAACCATGTATTAAATCCGGGATTAGCTTATGCAATGTTTAATTGTAATTTCTCAATTTAATTCTCGCTTAGTGGATTGAGTTGGGGAGCAAGATTAGTGAATGAAATTAATTAATGTCAATCTGATGCAAGCAATTCGTAATCTTGTTAAGTGAATCAATATCTTGCATTTTTAGATTTGTTAGTGTTTTATTCTGTTTTGCCAACAACTGTGTGATTTGAATTTTGTTTGAGTTTTGTTTAAATTTTTTTATAAAAGCCCCCATGTTTGCTGTTTTTAATTTTGGTTTGTTGAATCTTTGACCAAATCTGTTGTTCCTTGGGAGACGATCTAGGTCGACCCCTAACTGCATTTAATTGCAATATTTTTGACTGAGTACGGCAATCATCAAAGTGTTGAACACATGTCAATTGCAGACACATTAACAGATGGTGAGGATATTTATGCAAGACATGATCATGAAGAGAGCATTTGGTTATATCGGTCATTTCATTCAATAAAAGGTCATATGAAACTTAGTAAGGCTCCTAAAAAAAGAAAAAGGTGCATCTATTATTTTATTTGAATTGATTATATTTTGTTTTTGTTATTTTACTTTATCCCTGAATGTAATAATTTATATCTAACCTTTACCTTTTTTGTTACAGAGATGACTTCTTCAGATAACATGGACGGGAGTCCCCCTCATCACTTCGCTGGGGCAAATAAGAAAAAGGGTAGAGCGAACATGACTGTATGTTATACTTGAACAAACCTTTTTGCCTGGTTGCAAGAGGTAGAGTATATCATACAGTGGCTGGGGACTCCTTACATAATATGGCTCTTCCTACAGAGCATGGTAAGGTTTCTAAAAAAAGAAAAAAATGTATCTATTATTTTATTTGAATTGATTATATTTTGTTTTTATTATTTTACTTTATCCCTGAATGTAATAATTTATATCTAACCTTTACCTTTTTTGTTACAGAGATGACTTCTTCAGATAACATGGACGGGAGTCCCCCTCATCACTGCGCTGGGGCAAATAAGAAAAAGGGTAGAGTGAACATGACTGTATGCTATACTTGAACAAACTTTTTCGCTTGGTTGCAAGAGGTAGAGTATATCATACAATGGCTGGGGACTCCTTACATAATATGGCTCTTCCTCCAGAGCATGGTAAGGTTTCTATAGAGGTAGTGCAACGACATGAGGAGGACTCTGCACTGCCTATCCCAAATGGAGAAGCAAACCTGTATTCCCTGAGAGATGCCATTGGTACTTATGTTGCTTGGCAATTGTCCCTAATCATTTTAAGACCCAAGGTATGTAAACGTGTTTCTTTTCAGGTTGCCCATTCATTAGGTAATGGGTTAGGGAAAGAGACAAGCTACTCAAAAGAGTCCATTGTTGGTCCATCTAATAAAGGTAGCATTAGTTGTGTGTCATCGGAGATTCTTAAGTTGGCAGAAGCCCAAGGTGCTGCATGCTTGGATATGATGAAGCTGTTTGTGAGAAGTGATCAAGCCAATGATACAGCTACATTTCAACTGACAAGTGAGCACTGGGGTAAAGAGTTTTGTGACATTGTGGGGAAGAAAAACATCATAGAGGTCATACGTCGACATTGGTTGAGTGCCTCTAGCATTAACCTTTACATACGGTACATTAAATTTCAAATTATATAGTTAATTTATAACTTTTAACGCCTCATTCATACCACTAATGTTCAATTCTACTTGTGCAAAACAAGATATTTGTGTGAAGCTTATTTGCATGGGACAATGGCAAATAGATTCTCATTTATATTCATAATGGATGAAGCGCTCAATCCGAACCCACATCAACATATAGCTGAAATGTTGAAGCGTCATATGGGTGAAGATCACTTGATTTTTGCACCTTATAATGTTGGGTAAGTCAATTGATCTCATTGAGACTCTACTTTATGTTTTATAATTTACCATATAACTTAGTAATCTTAAATTGATATTTATGCTCGTGGTAGGCAACATTGGGTCTTGGTTGCCATCAATACTGCTGACGAGACTATCTATTACATAGACTCTCTACGCAAGCAGCTGAAGATTAGAACACACATGCAAAACCTATTTAATAAGTAAGCATTCATTTATGTCAATACACTATGATTAATGTTAAGTGGTTCAAATGTATCTAATTTCTTTGATTCATGTACGACTCTTAGTGCTCTTGTCATGTATTGAGCAGAGAGGGGAGTGCAGCCCTCTAGTACAAAGATGAGTCAAACAAAATGGGTCACTGTATAGGTAAGACTATATCATATCTCATGTTTTTAATTTTCAGCTAAATCGTAATTGGACTATATATCATTCTTAGTTAATGCTATTTTATTTGACTTTTATCTTCCACAGTGTCCCAAGCAAACAAATAATGACGACTGTGGATATTATGTGTGTCTATTCATTGGGGATGCTTTGCACCATGGACAAACTGTAATCCCAGTAAATGTAATAATCTACACTTTCAAATTCGTTTGCCATATGCTTATTATTTCACTTAATTAAATAAGCTTTGTTTTCCCTGTCCTTGTATTTCAGTACTTTTCAGAGGTGCAAATTCTAACTTTTCCTGACAACAAAATTTATCAATTTCAAAAGGAGTGGTGTGCATATCTGTATCATAGATATTTATAGGACACATTAAGCACAATAGATTATTAGTGTTCTTTTACAATATTTAGATAATTTTCTTTCAACCCTAGGAAAAATGTGTAAATATGAGACTCTAATTTGATTGTAATCTGTACATGTGAGTTGTAATTCAATAATACAATGTGCAAATAGCTCTGAAATTCTGCTATATTAGACTCTGTTTGAGAATTATATTCTGTTTCAATTGGTTTTGAATTCTGTTTGAAAGTGCACTTCTGAGAGCGGTTATACGCATAACCGCTCTCTAAAGTGAACTTCTGAGAGCGGTTCAAATAATAACCGATCTCAAAAGTTCACTTGGAGAGCGGTTAACATTGAACCGCTCTCAGAAGTCACTAAAGAGAGCAGTTATGCGTGTAACTGCTCTTACAAATTATAGTCTTTGGAGAGCGGTTAAATTAGAACTGCTCTCAGAAGTTCACTTTGGAGAGCGTTTGCAAGAGCGGTTACGCGCTTAACCACTCTCTTTAGTGAACTTCTGAGAGCAGTTAACCGCCAAACCGCTCTCCAAAATGTATATTTCAGAGCGGTTAAATAACCGCTCTGCAAAAATGACGACATTGGATAGCACGTGATTTTAAAGCACCACTAACCGCTCTTTTAGTTCAAGCAGAACTGCTCTTAGATCTCATTTTTGGCGTAGTGCTAGAATGAACTGAAAATCAGCTCTGGTGGGGAGAAGGGGGCTAATAGGAATACCAAGATACTTACCAAACCTATTAGAGCTCCTAATACCTAATCTCCTACTTAAATCCAATTGCAGGGCAGAATTACAACATTTAATGGACATAGAAGAGGTTGAGATACAGTGGCTTATAAGGGAAGAGAACTTAGGGCTGAGACCAATAAACTGCACTGTATCATCAATGAAACTCCACCTAAGTCTATCATAGGCTTTTTCCAGATCAATTTTAATTATCATATAATTATTTCTTTTATTAAGCTTATGAAAAGAGTGAACAAGTTCTTGCGAAATCAAGGTATTATCAATACCATGCCTCCCAGGGATGAAACTAGATTTGTTGGCTGAGATAATATGAGGAAAGAACCCTCTAATCTTATTAGCCAGAATTTTGGTTATAATTTTATAACTAACATTACAAAGAGATATAGGCCTACATTGTTGAATATATTCAGGGGACTCAACTTAAGAAATTAAGGAAAGGACAATATTATTAACCATAGAAATTCTAGTAGGGTTATTAAAAATATCAGTAACAAACTGAAAAAGAAAAGGAGCTAGAATGTCCCATTGAGATTTGTAAAAAAAGGCATAGAGCCCATCTGGGCCAGGAGATTTGAAGTTGCCTATACTGAACAAAGCAACCTTGATTTTAGCTAAACTAGGTATAGAATCGAGCAGGGAAACATCAGTATCACTAAGGGCAGGAAATCTAGAAATAGTCAGTAAAGGATGACTAAGAAAATATTGATCGAAATAGAGATTTCTAAAATTTCCAACAACAAGAGCTTGGAGTTTAGAAGAATCCAATTCCATTTACCTTCATTATTCCTAAGAGTTTCAATATAATTATTTTTCCAACAAATCACCACTGCTTTATGAAAAAATTTATTATTCCTATCCCCAAATTGAATCCAACTTGATTTATAATGATGGAACCAGAATAATTCCTCAGAGTCCAAAATTTTCTGGTACTCCAGCCATAAAGATTTCATAAGATTTTTAAGAAAAGGATTATCTTGGACTGCTAACTTATTAGAAATGCCTCTAATTCTATTTAATATTCTTTTTTTTTAAAAAAATATTCCCAAAAAATTTAAATTACAATCAATAATATTATTCCTAAAGTTATTAACATTTTCAGTTCAAGATCTAGAACTAATCCGAAAATTCTTGACTTGATTTTTGAAATCATCATGGGCCAACCAAGGAGCTAAGAACCTGAAAGGTCTATGACCAGACCTATCACTACCCCTCCCTCTAATTTTTAACCATAAGGCATTATTATCTGATTTTAAAATGGGTAGGTGTATAATAGAACTGTTCTGAAATAACATTCTCCAGGAATCATTAACCACAACTCTATTAAGTCTCTCCTTAATATTTCCTCTATGCCAGGTAAAGGAATTCCCTTTGAAACCCAAATCCTGGAGACCACTAGTGTTAAGACAATTAGAAAACTGATTAATGAGGTTCAAATTTGCAGGCCGACCCCTTAATTTCTCACTTTCAAAAATAATGGAGTTAAAGTCCCTAGCAATACACTAGGGACATTGAATTGAATTACTAAAATTAATTAGTGATTCCCAACACTCAGTTCTGAGCCCTTCCAAAGGGCTAGCACATACTGAAGAAAGAACCCAATCTCTATGACCATTATGGATCTTTAAATGAATGAAATACTTATTTTTTTCCAAAATAGTGACCTTTATTTTCCTATTATTCCAACAACACCAAATCCCCCCGAGAAGCCTATAGCATCAACCCTAGTAGAGCCATCAAAAATAAATTTCTTGATGACTCGATCAGCCCTTTGCATGCTAATTCTAGGTTCAAAAATGACAATAAAATCTAAATTATAAATTTTAATAAGGTCATTGATAAGCCTAGAGAAGATCTTACCCCAGGACCCCTACATTTCCAAAAAACATAATTCATAAATTTAAGGTTGAGAAATTAGAAGCATCTGAAAAATGCTGAGATAACCCTACAGAATTCTCCACAACATTCCTCTCAGGTTCATTATGCCTTAGGTTACAATTATTATCTACATCCACCTATAAAGGCAAATCTGGAGGCTTATCAGTAGGCTCTAAACAAGGGAAATCTTGTTGTTTCCAAAGAGCCTTATTATTAAATCCAATTAAATCCTGAAGACTATTACCCAAAAATTTGTTATTTCGAATATTATGTTCATAGATTTTCATTAAAGAAAGGATTTCCTTACTTTCCTGCCTAGAATCTCTCTTTTGGATGTCATACTCATTACCACTAATGTTTTCCATCTAAGGTTGAGAAGAACTATTGCTACCTTTGCCAACAGTGACTACTTTAGGGGTCAATCTTGGTTTGGTTCCTTTCCTATCAGGTTCACTAGGCTTATTAGAAGTACGGTGCTTGAATTGTCTAGAAGGGAAGTCAACTTTAGGCACAAAGTCCTTAGACTGAATGAAACTTGAGAGCCTGGGATTACTAACATCAGCTACCTGATCTAGGTTTATATCAGAATCACATAGGACATCAAATCTAGACCCTGCAGAAATTTCTTTAACTTTCCCAATTTTGGAAGAACTCCCATTATGAAGTAAACTAGGTTTTCTCCTAGGTTGTTTTTTAGCCAGCATTTAGGGTCCAAAAATATCCTCTTTGTTTACCACCCCATTTTCATCATAGTCTATAGCCATATCCTTATTTTGAGTGGAATTATGTACTGAAAGGTCCTCACTACCAACTGAATTATGAGGTATATTAGCCTCAGACACCATACCAATCTGACTAGCTTTAGGATTCTCAACACACTGATCTTGCCTATGCTCGTATTTACCACAATGAAAACAGATCAAATGCAATCCCTCAAATTCTACTTTAAATTCTTGACCTAAATCCTTAAAAGCAGGAACCAGTTTCTTCCTAAGGTCTATTTCAACACAAATCCTAGTGAATTTTCCCCTAGAGAGCAGAGAAGTAAAGGGATCCACTTTCAGCATAGACCCCAAAGAAGATCCAACCTGCCATAGAAATTTATTATTGTACAATTCAAGGGGCAAATCAGGGATCTACACCCAAGATGCAATCTTTCTAAGATTATAGCCTTTAGTTCTAAACAAGGGTCTCCACCTCTGAACAAGAAGGTAGTGATCCAAGATCAGTCATGGTCCTTCAAATAGAGCAAACTTATAATCATCAATGTTTTCAAATTTTACTTAAAAGAACTCATTATTTAAATCCAAAACTGATAGAGTCCCGTTTTCCCCCACATATTATTTAGTCTTTGATTAAGGTAACTGAAACTAACATTTTTACCTAAAAGTTTCACTATAAGAGTAAATCTCCAAAGGGCACACCACCCCTCATATTCCTCTAAAGGAATCTTGAGATTAGGACAAGTTCTGGACAATAGAAGTCAGATCCATGTTATCTTCAGGCTCAGATATGATATTAAAATCATCTAACACTGATTTTTAAATTTCTTCTTCATTGAAAACTAAATCTACATCTTTTGACCCTAGCACTTTATCCTTATAGGAACAAGATTCAGATAAAAGTGTGGTGAAAAACACCTGGTCCGACCTCTGGCTCGCCGTTGTGAGATCTTCAATCATGCAGTCTGATAGCGGTGTCCACTCCTCCAAAAGACCAGCAGAGTCGATCTTCACTTTTTTCGTGCTACGATCCATCAAATCCTTCTCTTCTGTAGATCTCTTCTCACCTTCATTTCTCTCCATTCGTCAAAGATCGCTGAGGCTAA